CTGGATTAGCACCTTTTCTTTCTCTGTTCCTTGTCCAGCATTGCTTGGTGTTCAAGGCTTTGTGAGTCAGGGATCAGTTGGGATAGAGAGGCATAAGTTGGCTCTCCTGTCTTTTAGGGTCATCTAAATGATGGTGTTTTGATCTGTAAATACAATCACTGATGATATGAGAGCAAGAAGACAAATCTCAGAAAATAAGAAACAGTATTTTCATTGTGAGAATCAGATATTTATTGCATAGGGGAATGAGTTAAGGTACTAGATTCTGGGCATTAAATGGGAGTGGTTTACAAATAAGACATGGCCCAGTCTCGGTGGCCTGGAAGATGAATTATTAATTCATATCTTCTGGGTAATCTTTTATTACAGCATAGGATGTAAGTGATGGATTACAGCTAAGACCTGAATATCTGAAACCCTGGGCATGGGGAGGAATCTTCTTATGGTACATAGTAGGAGACAGAGGAACCTTAGAGCTGATGGCAAAAGCCTTGATTAGACTAGGTGAAGACTAGGCTTTGCCTCATAATGTGTGATTAGAGTCACTTGGGTTCTTGTTCCAATGCAGGTTCTGATTCCATGGGTCTTCAGTGGGAATTGGGATCCTAGATTTCTATCAAGTCCTAGATAGTAGGTAATGGCCATTACTCTGAAGAGGAATACTCTAAGGCTGGCTGTCAGGAATCCCTTTGAAGTAACACCAAGTCACTGATTTACATGCTGCACAAAAAAAAATTGTGTTGCTACTGAGCACCCTACGGGCTCATTTAGCCAGCACTGATTTGGGTGTGATTTTCATGTTTCCCTCTTCCTGGTGTCATTCATATATCTCCTTGGTGAGTAATTACTATGTGCTAGGTAGGCCTTGTGTTAGACTGTAGTAACACCAAGACAAATAAGAAGTGGGTGTTGGTGTTCAGGGGCTTCCAAGCAGAGATAGGCAGGTATGCCAATAGGACAACGAGTTGTTAAGCAGAGACCAGACATCACCTGCATGGAATACAATGGGATGGAAGGAAAGAAGAGGCAGGGACCTGTGCATTGGGAAGTTTCCTGTTTTAGTGGAGGGATAGGCTCAGACCCACTTGAAGCAATGTTGAAAAGCTTACACCGTCACTCTTAAATAAGTGCAAATTGTGGAAGCATGACTGAAAACCAAAAGGAAATAAAGAGCAATCCATGGGTTTCTTGGCAGCTCACACTTTTGAACACTCACCAAATGCTCACTCAGTTGTTTGTTTCTGTGTTTGTTTCAATCAGGATTGCTTTCTGGAGGAGATTGGCATGGAGCCCAAGCACTCTGCTTCCTTAAGGGAGTCACTGCTTTCCCAGGCCCAAGAAACCATGGGCAGGGCCCATGGCACAAGGCCCGGCCCTGCTCTTCCTTAGGGCCAGTAGTACAGGCTGGATGCCAGAGTGAGGACCATTGGTGTTTTACATATGAGAAGCAATGAGGAGGAAAATGTGAGGAGTACCAGACAGCAGTGTGACCATGTTGCTCTAGGTGCAGGGCAATGAGGAGCAGACACAGGGCTGGGAAGAGACCCGAACTTAAGGGTCCTGGGGGGACATTGGTGGTAATTTTTACTTCCTTAATAGATGCAGAGTGTTTCAACTTTGCTAATTAACAGAACAGCAGGCTTGTAATTCTGACAGCAGCAGGACATGAATGTGGTGGGCTTAGCACTGAAAGCTAGCCAAGCATGCCTTTGTCCTTAAGAGAAAGCACAACACCCACATTGGGTAAGGTCCACAAGGGTTCCTGCTGACTTGTTTTGTTTTCCCCATATAGGACTGCCAAGGAGTTAGGGGCTTTTATTTCTTCTCAGGCCTTCCATAGAGGTAGTAATGGCTCTTCTGTTTCTTAAGGAAAAAGACGGTCTACCATTGGTGTAGTGTTCACAGGCTAATAATGTTATCAGATACACTTTGTGTCAGAAATAGCAGTTGTGGTACATGTTGCCTCCTGGAAGGCATGCGTAACTACAGACCTCTTCTGTCATTTTTCTTCCATTTCAGCAACTGATCTACCTGCAACAATTCGGGTCTCCACCTTATCCCAAAAAACAATGGGCCTGGAAACCAGGGAGGAGTTGCTCTAGTTTTACAAAGCACACTGAGACTGAATGAAGAATTTGCTTTCAATACATCCTTTCAAAACATGTTGCTCTGATAGTGATTTGATTGTGAAGGCTGGTAAATGTGAAGAGGGAACTTGGAAAGGTTTAGAGCATTAGAACTGAGAGACAAACACCCTAGAGATCATCTACTTGAATCACTAGTGTTTATATGACAGGTGATGCCACTGACCTTGTGCACCTCACTTTAGGAAGGGATAACTTTCAGTCGTTTATTCTTTCATCAAATATTTATTGATCATTTACCAGGAGTCTACTGGGATGTGTACCTGATAGTGAAAACATGTTCCAATTTCATTGGTCCTGTTTGTGTTAGCGGTCAATGAACTTACCCTTTATTATATATTCTAACAGCTGATTTCACAAGGGCCCTGGGGGAATTCATACATAGGCTCTTCAGCCAGTGTAAATAGATTTTTATATGCAAGGTCACCAATTTCTAAGCTGCTGGGCTAATTAGTTTAGCTCTACTTTGCTTTACATAATGCATGTATTGTTGAAAAGTTATTTGTAATTCAATTTTTGGCAAATGAAAAACTGATTTAAACCTCTAAGGGAACTTTTATTTAAAAAGACCCCCAAGCAAATGCCTTTATGATGTGAAAAATCTTGTTGCTACTGCAGTTGGGAATGATTGCTTCCTAGCAATGGGTTTAGTAAATCTGAGTACTGTGGGCATTCTTATGGTTGGCACACATTCAGGCACATAGCCCAGCCGTAGTCTGAACTGACTGGGGAGGTTTCTGGCCCAGGAAGTGGAAAGTTATGAATCTTAGATGAGTCCAGCTCAAGACTGACATTTACCAGAACCCATGATCACTAGCTACATGGAGGAATGGATTGCCATCCTCCTGATCCTGGACCGTGGAGTGAGAAGGAAAAGAGAGAGAGAAGGATGAGACTAGGGGCTCCCTCTCTGTAGGCGAGAGTGTTTGGACATAACAAACCCAATCCTTCCACTAATTTGCCAAGGCTGGCCTTGAACTTGTAACCATCCTGCCTTGGCCTCTTTCAAAGCTGGGGTTACAGACCTGCATCACCAGCCCTGGCTTACTTTGAACTTGTAAATAATCTAGAAAAAAAGGGAGGATAGAATTTATTTTTATGTTAGTTTTATAGAAATTAAATGTGCATCCTGATGTAAAGAGAGTATTTAAAAACTGAGGAAACTATATTTCACTTATAAAAATAAGTTTTTTGATACTGTAATGTCATGAAGTAAAGGTGATTAAGAAGCAAAAATATTTTCATGCTGCGTGAGAAAGAAAAGAAAAAAGCAGAGCAAGTCATAGGAACTATCTGTAAATTTTGTAGTAATTGATGCTAATTAGTCCCTTTCATGAGATGTAATAGTTTTTGGTGTGGGAGATAAGCTTTGAGCCTTGCTATCTGAAGACACTAAGGGTAGAGGTATAAAACAAGGCTTGGTTCTTTGAAGTCAGAACTCTCTTTGTCAGTGTTTCTTTTTTTTTCACTGCAGCTCAGTGAGCCTGCAGCTATTACTCCGCATCACATAGTGTGTATCAACTTCTGAAAAGATGTAATTGCTGAGTAAAAGGTTCGCTACATCAGGGAAACATGAAAAGGGAGAAAAAGATGAAATGGTCAGACACTGGAAATGTGATTGGGGTTAGATTATGACCTCTGACGTTGGACATGGGCATTTGGTGACACACCTCTTTCTCTTCCTTGGTTGGGTATACATGGGGCATGAAATTCCTCTTCCCTGGGCCATTGAACTAATCCCTGGTTTATTGACAACATTCATATGATGTCGAGAGACTGAAGGTAGAGACAAGCTTGCTCGGCATGCGACTCTCCTTTGTAGGCTTCAGACTTGGCCTCCAGCATGTGGACAAAAGTGCGAGAACCGTGTTCATGGCCCCTGGCCCATAGCATTGAGCTGATAGAACTGCTTGCTTGTGAGGTCCATTGTGTGATGTCTTAATGGTGATGCTCAGCAGAGAGCCCAGCGTTCTTGTGAGGCACTGGGGTTAACTACTAGGGTCACAGCGGGCTAGCCTGGGGTTTTGTGTATGTGTGAAAGCTGGTCCTTCCTTCCCACACTCCTCATATGGACTGGGTTGCCCTTTCAGGGCTACAGTTTTTTTAGTAAATCTTTTTCCATTTTTCATGAGTTCCGGGTGTCTGTCTCCAGCCCCCTAATAGGAACTTGGTTAGACTCTGGAAGAGATTTTACAATCAAGAAGACTAAAGGACGAGACTGACAAAGTACACTTCTCCAGGAGATTTGTTTCTGTGGAGGACTGGTGGTGACATTAGAGGTGAGGGTGGGTATCATCCTTATTTTGCTTCCAGCTATTAGATTTTTGCAGGTTATTTTTCCCATGTGTAAAATGAAGTCTCAGTTTATCTCCAAGAAGATGCAATTCAGGATCCTGTAAACTACCTTGTTATCAGTGAACTAACTCACCAGGTATGAACTACATGCTGTCTGAGTGACAGTGTACTAGGTGCTAGAGGTACAAACATGCTTTAAAAACATCTTGCCATTTTCAAGTCACTCAGCAACCACAGGGCATCCAATGCTGCCCTTGGGGCATGGAGTTTTGTACTCGTGTGTGTGTGTGTGTGTGTGTGTGTGTGTGTGTGTGTGTGTGTGTGGCAGGGGTGTGTGTGACTTGAACTGTTTTCTCTTGAAAAGGGTCAAGAGAAAATGACTTTAATCCCATCATGATGGGGATATTCCCTGTGTTGGACTGGGCTACAAATCTGTACAAGCCCAGATGATGGATCCATACAAGTCCAGATGATGGATCTGGACAAGAGACTGAGAGTGGGACCTTGGGACCTAGCAGGTTGCAGACATCTTTATCCTGACTCTGTTTTGTTGTCCCACAGGATCTTTTCGGAATGATGGTTTGAAAGCTTCTGATGTTCTTCCCATCCTAAAGGAGAAAGTGGCCTTTGTGTCTGGTGAGTATCTGCAGATGTTTCTTGAGCTGTGTGCGTGTGTGTGTGTGTGTGTGTGTGTGTGTGTGTGTGTGTGTGTGTGTGTGTGTGTACTCACCTCTGGGACCTATGAGAGCATTGGCAGTTAGGCTTGTAGCAGCTGTTTCCTACCTACCGTGCCAGGCACAGAGGGCTCTGATCTTACCTGGAGACTCTAGAGGATGCTTGCAACAGCAGGCAGGCCCACACGCACCTCACATACTGCAGCCTGATTTGCCTCTGTCAGGGCCACTGTGGCACTGTGAGAGATTCCAGTAGGAAGAGAGTATCCATTCCACATATTCTCCAGAGTTTCATCTGTTGTTCCTTAGTGTATCACAGACTTCTCCTTATCTATTTCCTTAGCACATGGAACTCAAGTGTTTGTATTCTCAAGTTTTGTTCTTGGTTTGCTTGTTTGTTGTTTTTGTTTTGTTTTCTGAATGATAATTTCCAAATATTTATTCCATAATTCTCTCCCAGCCTCTCTTATATACCTGGGCTTCTCATCATGGAATTTGGGCATCAGCTATCTTCAGTCTTCAGACCAACTACTGCTTCAGTAAATAGTTTAACTGAAACCTAGATGTGTGTTTGCTTAGGGAGAATGTTTCCTATGATGTCACAAACTTGGCAGCTGAACTGGAGTCTTTCTGGATCAGACCTTGCCAGACCCTGGGCCTGAGCTGGGTGGTGACAGTGGGATCAGTGCAGAGGCCTTGTCGTTAGAGAGAAGCCCTGGTGCTACACCTTGTAGACAGTACCCTTATATCTGGAGACTTTGTCTTGTCTACATGAATGGCCATGGAGCCATAGGGCATGAGTGAGCATGCTCCCATAGTATAATGACTTACCTCACAAGCACTGCTGGCTCAACTGATGTGTCAACCATAGTAGAGAGAAGGAGAGAGAAGAGGGGTTTCTTCTGTGGAAAGGGAAACCATATTTGAGTTGTCTTCCCCTTACCAGAGAGGAGAGAGGGCAGCTAGTCAGTGTGCTATGGGAAAGGAGGCAGGCATGTGCCAGGTACACAGGTGCCTTAGTCAGATACATGCACCCACAACAGTGGGTGGAATGGTATTTTCTCGCAGTTGTTGCTGTTAAGACAACAGAGATCCAAAAGCTCCCTTGCCCTGCTGTGTTAGGTAGTGAGCCCCTCCCTACTGAAGATAGAGAGGCATAGCAGAACAGCCTTCAGGAGGATCCTGTGATGTGACTCCAGCATAGAGGCATGTATGTGACAAGTCTCGGGGTGCACTAGGGTTTGGAGTGCTTACTGAATTGTGGAGAGAGCCTGTGTGGAATTCCTGGTGGTCTCCGTGCACTGGTATGCCCCAGGCCTCGTAGCCTCATCTCCTAGTGCAGGCTTGCAGTCCACTTCCTTCAATTTAACGGCCCTTCGTTAAGATGATGTTCTTCTTATACCTTGGGTATCCTGCCGATGCCCCTGTTGGTTTCATGCTAGATGTTTTCCTTCCCTAGAGTACCTTGATCCTCTCCTATCCAAGTTACATTCCCCTCCTCCAGAGGCCTTTTTAGCCTTAGCCCATTGCTTCTGACACCATATTTTTCAGCAACCATCAGGGACTGTGACGACAGATATAGTATGTTCTGACGTGGGGACCCTTGTCTCCTTGTTTGTGGCTCAGTTTTCCTATGTACAGTCAATTAGAATGTGACTGGGGCCAGCCAGGCCTGGGAAAGCCCATTAAGAGAGAGGGAATTTCCTTTATGGGACTCTTGGAAGCAGTTTGCCAGGAAAGCAGTCAGAGATAAGGCAGGTAGGAGCTTCCTGGGGAAGGTAAGGGGCCTGGAAGTGTGCCACTCACTGCTTGTTCCTGCACAAGCTGAGCCCGATTCATCCATGCTTGTCATGAACTTCTGGGCTTAGGGAACATTGCCCTCCCATGCCTTGGAAGGGCACTGAGGGAGATTGGGAGATGATAACTGACTGCATCTGAAAAGGAAAACAAAAAATTATTTCCCTCTTCTATGTACTCAGAGTCAGGAAACAAAACATAAAAATAAAACCAAGTAGAGAACCCACCCCCTCAGTTAAATATTGCAGTGCGGCAGTTGCATTTCATTCTGAGAGCAAAGCAAGGAGCATAGTAGGCAGAGAAACGGACCATTAGCTGTGCCCGCCCTCTTCTGCCAGCATCTCAATTTTGGCCAGGTGAAAGAAAGCATGTTGCCATGACAACGGAATCTGGACTAGGCCAGGACAGCCCAACCACTTCTGTATGTGAGCACGTGGGCGTGTGTGACGACAGTGGCTATGTCTGTCCCTTGGTGTGCCTCTATTGTCCCAGTCCTGCCCCATCATGCTCTATGGCCCACAGCTGTGGATTCCTGGCCTCCTAGTCACAGCACACACACACACACACACACACACACACACACACACACACACACATATAAGATATATATATATATATATCTTCTTTCCTCCCAGCCCTCCTCCTGTGTAGGTCCCACTATATCTCAGGCTTACTGCATCTTTACATGCTTACCTTCTGCATTTGGCCTTCACCTGGTTTTTCTTCTCTGGCTTTGGATCCCTTGCCATCATTTCCCACTCTTCTTACTGATGCTCCATGTTACTGGAAACAACCTTTTTATACTCTGGACCCCAAAATTTCAAAGTGTGTTCCATAAGGTGATCTTTGAAAATGAGGAAGGAAATTTGGGAATTGCTGAATAATAAATCCTCCAACCCTTGACTTGGACCATGCATCGAAGCATATTAGCATTTCAAGGCTCTGTAAAATCCTACAATAACCAACTTTATCTAGTCTAACCTGGCATTTCCAACTACAAAATAGCCTTGTTTCTTTTTAAAATGTGTGTGAATACATTAAAATCCTGCAGAGCTATTGTTACGTGAATCCAGCTTTTGGTATGCTTCCTGAGATGTGTCTCCCTCCCACACTATTCCCATATGCTGCCCTAACTGAAGCCTGATACCTCCTCAGAGTGTGAGTCTTCCCCCTGCTTTAGTCAGTGAAACAATGTCTCTCACTTTGGGCCTTCCTCCTTCCCCAACCCTGCTTTCCTGTGTACAGGGAAGGAGAGCTGTTGGCATTTCTAGAACAGCCAACCACCCCACCCCCATTCTGTCCATCCTTATCCTGTAGCTCCTACCACCAAAGCCTTGCACTGTTAGGTGAAGGCAAGCACTTGCTTCACAAGTGAATGGTGTTACTGATGAAAGATCATGCCACCATCTGTGATGCTTTAAATATGACTTTGTTTCCTTTCATTTAATAAGCAATAACTTTAGTATTGGAGTTTCATGCTCATCTCTGCTTATCTCCTCCTAATGTCAGTACCCATCTCAGTTATCAGTGACGTAACTGATGCTCAGCCTCTGGATGCCACAGTCCAACTTCATCATACTGTGGCCATCCATGATCTTGACCTCTGTATCTATGTGTAATCTTGTTCTCTTGCCTTTGACCTTTCTGTTTTCCCGTTAGTTGACAGAGACAGATGGCAAAGGATCCCTCTTCTCTGGAATGGCTTGGTATAGTATAGCAGTTACCCCTTACCAGTTCCACCCCATGCTCTATTCTACCATCATAGAATGGGGCCCAGAGCAGATGCCACCTCTCAACACCTGTCTCTGAAGCCCCTACTACCCCCATCCCCATGGAATGCTTTCTACTGACTGTGGCTTTCTCCTCAGAAACTAAAGCCTACCTTGACCTTGAAAGGTGCCTTTGGTCTCTTCTTCTGCTCGGAGACAGGCTTAGCTGTCCTTCTCCATGACTTGATTTTATTTTCTTCTCCTCCTGCGGTAGAGAGAAAGGCTCAGCCATAAAACTGAGTGCTAGATTCTTGTCTTCTACCCACCGTGAGGCCTCATTCCATCCATTGTCCCCTGCTTTCCAGAATAATGCTCTCCTCCTCCATACCTAGTCTTCTCTTTATTCTTGGATGTCTTTCCCATTCTGAAAAAAGATAGGTTTGATCCTGATGCCTCTTCTTTACTCTTGATCCATACAAAAGTGACACCTGTGGAGACAGAAGAGGCAATTTCCCACCTTTGGAGGCTCCCTACTACTCAGAACCTTACCTCCAGCTGTGATTCTGAAACTCTTCTCTGGAAGATAAGTACCGGCCTCATGTTGACAGGGGGACTATACCAACCAACCCTCCAGACCACCTTTTGCCCATGAGAATCTTTGCTCCTTGGGTTCCCATGGCCCTACTTTTAAGATGTCCATGGAAAGTCAGGGTGAAAACTAACAATTGTGGCAGACAGATAGACAGACAGACAGACAGACAGACAGACAGACACACACACACACACACACACACACACACACATCCCTACCTCTAAGAATGAAAATGCTTAGGTTGATGAGATCAAGACTAGCAGAGAAGGATGTCTGAGATCCTTCTAGCTTCTAAGAACCTGTTTCTTTAATCCTTCTGTTTCCTTTCTTCAAGTGGATCATGGATGACAGTTGGGAAATAAGGTCATCTCCCAAGGGAAATGAGGTCAAGGTGATCTCATTATTCCAAAGAACTAGGGTGAAGAATATAGAAGGTCTGGAGCTGGGGAACCTGTGGCTCAACTCTGTATCTACACAAATTCATCCTGCTGGGATACAGAAGGACCTGGATGCTGGTCTTGCTCAGTGGTTTGATTTTGTTTAATCCTTTCTTCCCTGCAGCCTCCTCCAATCATGTGCGTGCATGTGTGTGTGTGTATGTGTGTGTGTGTGTGTAAGAGAGAGAGAGGAGAGTGCATGTGTGTCTTAATGCTTATGCACATGTATGCATACACAGAGGCCAGAGATCAACACCAAATGTGTCCTTAATTATTCTCTACCTTATTTTTTCAAATATGGGCTTCCATCTCATCTAGCTCACTGACTGGCTATACTAGCTGACTGTCAAGTTCTGGGGGTCAGTCTGTCTGTCTGTCTTCCAAATGCTAGGGTTGTAGCTCATCATGTCAGATTTTATGGGGATGCTGGGAAATCTGAACTGAAGACCTCACATGTGTGCAGAATCCACTTTACTCCTGGAGTCCTTTGTCCTTCAGGGTATTCTGAATTCACTGTTTGCCAAACCTCCCAACGACAGCTGTGTGCTCCTGGACTAGAAAAGCATTATGCCTGAGCTCACGCTTGGGAGGGATGTGGGCCACTCAGTCACATAGGAGGTCATTTTCTCAATGAGCCTGTGTAGGCTTCTTTCTAGGATTGCTATGGTGCTATGGCCATATGCTGCCCCCATCTTCCTCCCATTAAATCCCTTTTGGTCCCCACTATGGGGATGTTAGTGGATGCTTGAGATGCAGGTGGCCATTTGAGATCACACTACAGAGAAGGGTGGCCTTTGATTACTACAGAGTCAGTGTGCTGTAGTCACTATCCTTAAGCTTCAACCTATTCAATTCCTGCCCAGAGAAACTTGGTCTGCTTTATAATTTTAGTGTCTGTGAACGAACAAATTTTAAAATTACTCCATAGTAGCAAAGAGAAAGTTTGGAAAGTAGAGGAAAGAAGCAGTAGTTGTCTTGAAGCCTGTCCTAATTAAAAGCAGTGGTCATCATTTTGGTTTACTCCTCCCAGCTTTTTTCACATGTGTTTTTTGGTAAGACCCTGAGCATAGAATTTCTAATGAGACTCATGTGCTTCTCCATCAGATGTAGCAGTCAGTGGGTAGAGGCAGCCTCTGGACTGGGTAGAGAACTCCCCATGTATTTTACATGAGTTAACTCCCCTGCCAGTGCTGTCCTGATGTCTCTGAGGCCTTTCATAAAATCATCTCCTAAAGCATGATCCCAAATCACTGGAGTCTGCAAAGAGAAGTGACTGGAGATTAAATTTCTAAGACCAAGCACTTTTGCCTAGCTTGTTTTCTCGACGTGAACAGCTACAGCACTTCTTATCATCTCGTATATGCGCGTGTGCTCCTTTTCACAGTGGGGCCTCCCCCTGCTGTCTCACCAGTCCTTATAATAATCCTGCAATGTGCCCACTGTCATTTTATCATCTGTAGATGAGGCAGCAGCACTCTATCAATGTCATACACCTTACCTTTGTGTATCTCCTACTGGCTTTTGTTTCTCTGGGCACTTTGCAGCCTAATCTTTTCGGACCCATTATTTTTCATCTGTAGTTGACTTTCCTGAATGCTTTTATTTTCTTTTTCTTTCTTTGTGTGTGTGTGTGTGTGTTATCAGTCTTTTTTTGTCTTTATTTTCAATTTAAATTAGAAACTAATGTTGCTTCACATGTCAATCCCAGCTTCCTCTCCCTCTCCCTCCCTCCTCCCACCAGTCCCCATCCACCCTCCCCCAATCCCCACTCCTTTCCCCAGGAAGGGTGAGGCCCTCCATGGGGGTGTCCATAGTCTGTCATTTCATCCAAGGCAGGGCCTAAGCCCTCTCACAAGAGTCCAGGCTGAGAGAGCATCTCTCATTGTGGGATGGGTACCCAAAGTCCATTTGTATGCCAGGGATAAATATTGATCTACCCAAGGCCCCATAGATTGCCTAGGCCTCCTTACTTACACCCACATTCAGGGGGTCTGGATCAGTCCCATACTGGATTCCCAGCCATCAGTCTGGGGTTCAAGAGCTCCCCCTTGTTCAGCTCAGCTGTTTCTGTGGGTTAAACCAGCCCAGTCTTGACCCCTGTGTTCATCAGTCCTCCCTCTCTGTCACTGGGTTCCTTAAACTCCCTCCTCTTGCTCCCTCCAGGGGGCCGTGATAAGCGAGGTGGACCCATCCTGACCTTCCCTGCCAGAAGCAATCATGACAGAATAAGACAGGAAGACCTTCGGAAACTTGTGACGTATTTGGCCAGCGTGCCAAGGTAAGATGAAGGGGAACTGTCTGTAGGGAGGGGGAGCTGAGTTGATGCCAGTGAGTTGAGACAGCCAATGTGCCTGCCAGTGGCCCTTGGATTGGATTCTAATTGTTCCTGGAACATCATCAGCCATTGTTCGCTACATTCCCATTTTCCCCATTGTCCCTGCTGGGATTCCTCTGGAAGTGGTAACTGTGGGCCGAGGTGAGAATCCCAGGCTATAAGGACTGGTGTGGGTGGGGCCTATCACAGGAGACAGCTTAGCCTGGCTTGGAGGAATGGGAAGCTGCTGTTTATTTTCATGAAAACTTCTGACTAGCCCCTCTGGCTTATTTTAGAGTCTCTGAATAGAAGCATGGCCCTTGGATTTGGGCGCAAATAACTTCTCTGTGTCACTCGCCTAGGAGTAGCACATGGTTCAGTGACAATCCTGCCTTATCAAGCAGGGTAATACTGCTGAAGAGAAAGGTAATGATTGATTATTGAGACAGCAAGTGAATCTCACTTTGTTTGCATTAATCACACACACATCCATACATACACATGTTCAATAATATATGTTAATACATGTGTGGCATTAAGGTTCACTTATGGAGAAACTGGGGGTTGTAAATGGCTCCTCCGGGGCAGAGGGTGTTAATGAAAGATAGTGAAACACTGTCTCAATGCCACCCTGGAGGTATATGCCACAGACATGGCTTGTGTCTTTGAGAAGGGAGGGGAGAGGCCTTTGGCTAATTAGAATGGAAGAGCCAGAACTGCCCTTAGGAACAGACTGGGCAAATATATACAGCATTTTAAATGTGTGTTTAGGGATAGGGCTGGCATTGGATGCTAGTAGCTCTCAAGGATGCTGCAGAGCTTGCCTGGGACATGCCCCTCCTGACTGCGGCTCTGGTACTCATCCCTCATCTGCGATGCTATTTTCTTGCTCTTAGCCAGAGTGGGTGCCTGTGGAGTGTTGGTTGTGGGAGATAAGAAGTGGTGCCTTGGGCTTTCAGAATTTTCATTTTATGGGAGAATTAGTAAATTAGTCAGAGGAGCTTTAAATTCTGCTGTCGTCGCAAGGAGACCTGGGATATTTTTGAGTAATGTGCTGATTAAGTTCTTGAAGCAGGTGTCAAGTGAGGCTAGCAGCGCATTCCTGGAAGTTCCAGGGGAGGAAATGTGAAGGGCTTGGTGGATATTGATGGGGAGGTGGTAAAAGGAGGTGTACATGCTAAGTATCACATGCTAAGACACATGTTGAATGGAATGGTGATCCCTGGAGAGCTCGGAGCAGAAGGCCGTAAACAAACAAATATGAGAAAGGATTATTTTTTCTTGATGATATAGCCACAGGAGGTCTTCTGCTCCAGTGAAAGAGCCTTGAATTATACCCAAAGAACCTTTAAAGTATGCATGCGTGAGAGTGAACTGGAGAATAAAAAAGCCTGGAGGTCTTTAGAGAGAAGAAATATTCCCATCTGACTCTGAGCAAGGAGGTGGTTGAAATAAGCCATGATCACACTATGTGATTTGGTAATTTAGCCTTGTAGGGCTAAACAGTTTTTAAAAGGGCTTTCCCCAAGTACACTAGTACTAGGTGTGAGTCGAGGCATTCTCTGAAGCAATTTACTGGAGTTTTTGTGGGAACTTATGATGGACTCTCAGTTCTTTTAGACTCCCAGGAGGAGCAAAGGCTACATTTGTCTTCTTCCATGTCTGTGACATCCCTACAGCCCAGACAGGCTCATCCTTTCTTTAGAAGAGACGCTGAAGAGTTGGAAGAGCACACTTTCCTTCATTCTGACTTGTTAAGCAAAGACTGGGACAAAATGGATTGAAAGCAATTAAGAAAGGAAGAGATTTCTGCTGGGTGAAAGATTAAACCCAAGAGGGGCTGAGAGGAAGGTCGCGAGAACAAAGGGGAGGTGATAGCACTATCTGCAAGGAACACACTGCATGCTGCTCTCTGCCTCCCAGCATGGCAGCCCGTGCCCCCCTTCCGGGTCACATGGGCTTTTTGCAGCCTCCAGTGGGTGGGAGGCAGGAAAGCTGTTGTTATCTTCACTAGCAAGAACTGCCTGTGACTTCTTTGTCGCCCCACAAGGGGACCTGTGTTCACTGGGATTGTGGGCAGCAGCTGCTGTCTACCAACCAGTTGTGCCCACCAATCATTCCCTAATTCTGTTGGCTGGATGCTTACACACCATCACTCACAGGTACAGAATCTGCAATGGAATTATTCTAAAGACTGTGACGTGTGGTAGGAAAACTGAGACCTTAGTGTGCTGCTCCTCCGCCTAGTTGTAGCTTTGGGTGTGAAATGAAGCTAGATCAGGTGGGTGATTCTAATGAAAAGAAATTATTGATCCTGGGTCATGGTCCAGGATGCTGAAAAGTATAGATTTCGGTTTGAAGATGGAGTGTTTGTTACAGGCTGGTGTGCTCAATTCTGTAGGTGACGTTTGATAGCCATTTATTTGTGCCCCTTTTTATTATTTAGCAAATATTTAGTGACTCTGTATGCCAGGCAGATTGAGGATACATGGTTAGCAGGAGGAAACTTATTGATGAAAGTAGAAGTCTAGGTACTTCTCTGCATAATCCAAACCGGTAACAGTAAAGGGTAATGCAGGCATAACTGTACTAGATCTCAAAACTGAAGCAGCTAGCAGAAGACAAACAGGAAGGGCAACTGAGAGGTGGAAGGATCTGGACTGTAAGGGACCAGCCTGTTTAGAAAAGGTGATTAGCCACAGTCGTGATAACTTGAAATGAGTGATTGTGCTGTCTGCTGTGCGGGTATGCTATGCCAAGACCACTGCACTCAACTCTGCAGCATCATACTTGTCCAATCTCATACACCAGGCAGAGCACTGTCAAAGTAGCCACACTGCAGCATCCACCGATGGGAGAAGAGAGAAACAACCCCTGACTTGGTCAGAGGCTCTCCTCCAAAGAGGAAGGATCTGGGGAGTTTACTGGTGCATCCCTAGTACAAAGTAGAGATCAGGTCTCCAGTGAAGATCCTGCCCACCTGGGAGCTGTCCAGCAGCCACAGCCTCAGCAGCTGCACTCTGCTCCTAGTCAGGTCACCAGACCCAGGACAGTTTTCCCGTAGGGATGCTGTAGAAAAAAGTGACTCCACTGAATCAGATTGTGTTTCTAAGTCTCTTTCCGGTCCTGAGTTCTAGGTTGCTGTTGTATTGGAAAATATATACCAAATAAAGTCCAGGATCTCAAACCAGCAGGTACATCCTTCTCTGGCTCCCTGAATGACCCATTGTCTGGTATCTTGTCTATATCTTCAGTCCCAGGACAACTGCTTTTTGGTCTTCTGAGACTTTTGGTGAGACTTTAGGGGTATCACCTGGGACCAGAGATCAATCAAGGGTATAACAGTGCACATCAGTGCTGTTACTCGTCCAGGGTCCTTTTCGACTTGAGTTGAGGTCTTGTCTCATCTTGATTCTGAGGAGTTTGGAATCCACACCATAAATCTCTTCTAGGCATCTTGTTATGAGAAATCATAGGTTGTGAAAGATTTAAAAGTCTTCCACTCCCTGACCTCAATACATACTCACTGAGTGTCTACTATGAGCCAGGCCCTAGACAGGAATCATAGCAAGCTCTCATAGTATCTTTTCTTACTGTCACCTATCAGAAGCTTATCTAAGCTTTTATTGTCCTTCTGGTCTGCTATCTGCTAGTAATTACTTGTATGTGAAAGGAGTGGGAAGGAAGTACTCAGATATGATCAGTTGATGATCTCAGAATGGAGAGATAGGGTTGAAAATGCAAACCGGAAGTACACAGATATCCAGGCATTGTCCACAGTGTGGATTGTTGGCAGCTGACCGAATGCTTGAGGCAGCAGGTAAAGGTTGTGTCTGTCACAGCAACTTGTCCCTTTTCATCATCACTGTTGTCCCGCTTTGTCACAGTCGTGTTTTTGCTGTTTCTAAGGCACCAAATGCTGTACTGCCATCAACTCTTCTCTTAGCAATGCTGCCAAGATGCTGAGTGTTGTGTCAAGGAATGCAAGTGTCATAGTAAAAGGAGAGATGTCAAGAAATTAGGATGGGTTATTCTTTAATGCCAGTCAAAGCCAAGTGCCTTTATTTGTAGCTTATTATTTGATAATATTTGTACTTCTTCTTTTGATTCCAGCAAAAGATAATTTGGGCTTAAAGCCAGAACTGTCTTTGTGCTACATCGCTGAAAAAATAGGAATAACCAGAAAGAACCAGAAAGACAGCTGAAGGGGGATTGCAAAGGTTTCCTCCTTCTGTTTTTAGCAAGAGAGGGCTGGAGCTATCCAAAGTGTCAGCACCCCAAGCACTCTGTTATTAGGACCTGTCAGACAGTGCTGTTGTGCCCTGTCCTTTGTTCTGGGATCATCAATTAAAGGAAGGTACAGGGAGAAATCAAAGAGATGGGAGGCCAGGACATAGGACCAGTAAGAACACTAGCCCACTGTTTATATTTACATTTGCCTAAAAATTCTGTTTTTAAAAGCCACTGTAAATTGATTTTGTTGCCTGTGTGGAAGGTTTATTGTTTCTATTACAGTTTCTACGTTTTACACACATTCTTTAGCAATATCAGCTAAGTGTCCTTTTGTTAGCTGTTCGTAACATCAATCCTGAAGAGCAAATAATGTTCTATTATGTGGCAAAGGAACATAAAACCACAGTAGTAACTGCCACCGTTAGTTATTGCCTGCCTTAGAGTCAGGCCAACCTTTGCAGAAAGGGGTAGAGAGGTAGCATGTACACACCTCCAGGTTCCAGTTCCACCACTTGCAGTCAAGAAGCACGTGGTCTCAGCTTGATTAGTTTAAGATGACGACGTTGAAGGGCAGCTTACAAAGGTGTGAGGAGGCTTGGAGAAAACACCCAGATTTGAAAGAGCAGCTAAGGCAATATGAGTCTTTCTAGGCCTGAAGAGGGAGGGCTTGGGAGGAACAGAAAGGCTCTAGAGCTGTGGATTTCAGGGAGAGATGTCCCCAGAGGCAGGTC